TCCTTGTGTTCCTCCTTTTTACTGTTGTTTTATTACATCATGGTGGTTTTGGGGGAAATAAATGTGCAGGTAGATGATATATTTATATTTGATGTTCATTTCGGTGTGTTTAATCATTCAGTTGTGTTCAACTCTTTGAAACCCCACGGACTGTAGCCCACCAGGCTCCTCTGTCCATGGGATTTTTCAGGCAAGGATACTGGAGTGGGTCGCCATTTCCTTCTCCCGGGGATCTTCCCAATCCAGCAATCGAACCCGCATCTCCTGCATTGCAGGCAGGTTCTTTTACCACTTGAGCCACCGGGGAGGACGGAGAGTTCAAAACTCTGGTGATAAATGAGCTGTGGCTAATCCGACAGGACTGCAAGCAACTGGCTTAAGCTAGTGGTTCTCAAACATGAGTGGGTGTCGGAATCACCTGGAAGGCTTGTAAAACATTGATCATTAGGCCCGCTCCAGAGTTTCTGACTCTACCTGAGAATGTGCATTTATAACAATTTCTCAGATGTCTGGGCACCCGACTCTGCTCAGCATTGGTTCAAGTCAATTTGGTGGCCCGTCTCCCTTGCCATGAATGGAGTTTGACATCTCCAGCAGGTGAGGTGTGGAGAGAATGGAAGGGATGGCTTTCTCTTCTTCCAGTGGACATGGATCTGCATATGATACCTGGTGCTGTGGCTGCTCTTTTGTGACCATGAGGACAGCTAATCCAGCAAGCTGAAGATGGCAGTGTGAAAAGACCTGGGTCTGCAGGGATATGGTCAAGTCATTGAATTAATCCACCCTGGAGCCATCCTACTCCTTGCCTGCAAGGAATCAGCTGTATTTGCAGCTAAAAACACCTGAGATTTAAGTTAACCTCCCACAATTCTTGGTACACACCCACTTACAAAAACCTGTCTTCAGGAAACACTGGGTGGCCCAGAGGCAGCCAGGCCTGGGGCCCTGAGGCAGCCCTCTGTCTCTCTGGGCCCCACTGAAAACTTTCTTTGAAAACAACTCTGGAGAGGGCATGATGACAGAACCCCAAAGAGCAAAAAGGGCTTGTTGTTGGAATTTTCATGAACGTGTAAGAGTGCCACGTGCCAAGCAACCACGTGACCTCAGCTTAAAATGGAGCAATATTAAAGGTGAGCTCTTCAGCCACACCTGCCCATTCAAGTGTGCGTGGCCACATGTGGCCACCAGTGGGACAGCATGGAGCCAGAACATTCCATGCTGTGGAGACTCTCGGGAAGCACTGGTCAGGGCCAGTCGCACAGGCAGTTTAGGGAACATCACAGGACATAGTCTGGGGCTTTCCAGGAGAGGTGTCCAACTCACAGAAGGACTCAGCAGTCAGGAAGGGCCTCTTTTCTGCAGGGTGAGGGGGCAGAGGGTCTGACCTGGGACAGAAAAGGCACACCAAGGCCAGACACCTCTTGCCCAGGTGAGACAGGGGAGGGTCCTCCCTGCCTCCTCCAACCTCTGATGGAGCTGCCCTCCTGCCTGCCCTGCCCCAGGGCTGTATGGCCGCTGTCTGCCTCTCCCTCTTCCACGCATCTCCACGGGGCTTTCTCTCATGGCCACCAGTCTCTGGATCCAGGGCGACCTATCCTACCTAACGACACCTGTGAAGACCCAGTTCCCAAATGAGGTTGGGAATGAGAACAACTAGAGTCCATGATGAGGTTACTAAGCTGGGAAATTAACCAGCCCCAGGCCCCCAACCACCGGGGCCTCTGCTTCCACTAGAGGATCTATGTCCTCCTGGTTCTAAGCCGCTCTGAGTGGTGCCTGTGGTGAGGCTGCTGATGGTGCCACAGTGGCCATGACCCTCGCCAGGTTCCTCAACATTACTGCACCTCCGGGTCCTCACCTAGAAACTGTGTAGGAAACCTCAGGATGGGGGAGAATTCAACCAGGGGCTAGACTCCACGCTCACGTCTTAGAAGACCGGACGCTCTGACGGCATCACTGCTCGCTGAGCCTCCATTTTCTTGTTTTGAAACAGGGACCGTTACAGGGTTTCGTGAGGGTTCTATGATATCAGCTAGGTGAGTCAGCTGCTATTTTAGCTTCCTTTTGCTGCTATAACAAATTAACACAAATTTAACATAAATGTATCCCCTGATAGTCCTGAAGGTCTGGAGTCCAGCTTGGATCTCACGGGGCTAAATCCCAGTGTGGGCAAGGCTGGTCCCTCCAGAGGCTCCCCGCTTTTCCAACTTTTCGCAGCCCCTCCCTCCGTCCTCACAGCCAGCAGAACAGCATCTCCCATCTCTCTGCCTCTGACCCTCCCCCCTCCCTCTTCTAGGGACCCTTTGATGACACTGGGCCCCCTGGGAATGCAGGGGTGTCCCTATCACAGGGGCTTTAACTTAATCCCTCCTGCAAATTCCCCTCTGCCCTGTGAGGTGACATGTCCACAGGTCCGGGGTCCAGGACAGGGGTGTCTCCAAGGCTGCTGGTCTAGTAGTTACTCTGCCACTCAGGTGGCAGCAAGTTCGGGCTGGAGAGCGGCTTCCGTTCTGGGTCTGGTGCTGGATTCTCACCGGGTGACAACTCTGCCTCTCTGGGCCTCGGTGTCCCCACCTTACATAAGTGGGGATAGCACATGCTCTCTTGAGGACCCAGGTGGCCCCTGTTGGCCCCTGCATGATTGGGGGCACAGCTGCTCCCGCCTTGACCTCACACTTCTCTGTGAACCAACCTGGAGGGGACTCGTGGCTCTCAGAACACCTGGGGGTGTGGGTGCAGAGACTGAGGCTCCCAGGAGAACAGAGCCAGACACTGGGGCTGATTCAGACTCCCCGCCCACCCCCCTTTCGGGGCAGCCACACCAGGGCTCATCTCCAACACGGACACTGTAGCCCCCTTCTCTCCACCCCCACACTGCCCTACTCCAGGGCATCTCTGCTCCCCAACAGTGCCCCAGGCTCCCCTGGCTCTCTCTGCTGCCCTGCCAGCCCCACCCCTGCCCACTTCCACAGGAAAGCTACTTTCAGCACCAACGCTGCTCTGTGACCCTGCCGAGGACCATCCAAAGTCAAGGTTGCCCACACAGCCCCCAAATCTTACTCCTATGTTCCTCTCTCTGCACCAGCCCCACCACATGGCTCTCCGGCCAGTCCCCAAACCTGCCAGCTGAGCCCCTGCCTTGGATTCTCTTTCCCCAGTTGTTTCATGCCTAAGGCCTCCATGGTTTTAGGGCTCAGCTTAAATGTCATCTCTGAGGGGCACCCCACCCACCAGCCCTGCTAAGAGCAGCCAGCAGTCTCTGACATCACTTGATTGTAATTTCTGCACAGCACCTGCCAAATCTGCTGCATCCCTGTTGTTTGTCTCTTGTTTATTTACCATCAGTCTCTCCCTCTAGAAACCTGAGCCCCGTAAGAGCGGGGATCAGATGGACCCCATTTTCTAGCATGCCCTCAGCACCGGGCAGGCGCTGGCACACATTATTAATAAATGCTGCACCGATGGCAACTTTCAGACCACTGAAACAGTCCAAAAGCCTGCACCCCAACAACATGAGCATCCGAATTCTGAGCACTTCTAATCCCCACAGCCACGGCCCCCGAGGGGACATAGTGGGAAGCCCAAGGCATTGCCCGGGAAACATCTTGCTACAAAATCAGTGTTGAATCCAGCGAAGCTGAGATTCAGCAAAAGAAGGGGCCATGATCAAGTCAGAAGACTCCAGGCGAGAAGAGCAGGTCCAGAATGTGAGGCAGCCTGAGGCCCGCTGCCCAGTCCAAAGCTCTTCATTTCTAACCCACTCCCAGGGAAGCAGCGGGCCTGCCTGGACCACACCTGGACGTGCAGAAAGTCAGGCCACTGCAAGCCGCCACAACACAGCACCACAAACTGGGGACTTAACAGAAATGTAAGCCTGGTCCTACAGTTCTGGAGGCTGGAAGCCAGGGATCGAGGTGTGGTGGGGGGCCTGCTCCCTGAGAGGAGGGTACTTCCAGCCTCTTCCAGCGTCTGGTGGTGGTACGCAGCCACCCTGGATGTCCCTTGATTTGTGGACACACCATTTCTCCTCTTGTTGTCAGGGGCCCCTCCCTGAGCCCCTCCCGAATCTCCTTTTTCTTAGGAGGCTACCAGAGATCGCATTAGGGCCACGGTAATCCAGTGTGACGTCATCTTAACTCAATTATATCGACCAAGACTCCATTTCCACATAAAACCATATTATCAGGCTCAGAAGGTCAGGAATCTGAGGAATACTAGTCAACCTAGTATGGGGTGGGTGGGAAGAGGCTGTGAAAGAAGCGAAGACAAACCACCACACACAAAGACACAGAACTCCAGGATCCCGGTCCCCACCCCAGACTGAAACGCTGTGAATATACATCGGACTCTGATGTGACAATGAACTGTGGGTGGGAGGAGTGGCTGGTAGCCTGGTGCGTGAGGAAGCATTTCACCGCGTGGCATCCCACCGGCCGCTCGCCGCTTCCTGATGGTTCATCAAAACTACCCACAGAGGCAGAGGTTCACATAAAACGAGGACAAATAAAGACCTGCTTCTCTGCAGCACCTTCCGAGGCCCCGCGATCTCACACTTGGAATCAGGGACCTAGCGGGCCTCGGTCCTTCTGCACCCCACGATGCCCACGGTCTCCGACCCTCCTGTCTAGAAGGAGTTTTCAGTGGGGATCTGGGTAGCCGGCCGCCCCCCTCCCCCGCGTCTTCCGTCCCCAGTCTCACCCAAGAAATGGGGGGCTACGCCTAACCTGCGCATGCGTGCCCCCCTCCCACCAGCAGCCCTCTCCCCGCCCCTCCCCACGTGACGCCGTGGGAACCTGGACCCCAGCGCCTCCTGGGTGGGGGTGGCCAGCAGAGCACGACTTGGCAGTTGGGGTCTAGGGTGATGGGAGAGGAGAGGTGGACAGACACCTGTCTTCTCGGGTCCAGAGTGTCCAGGAGAGAGAAGTGGGGGATGGGAACCCCCGTGTCCAGACGGAGGCTCGGGGGAGGACGCCGTCCCAGAGTCCCGCCGGCGCACTCACCCTAACGACGTAGGAGACCCCGGGCCCCAGGACCCTGGCGTCCGGGTGCAGCCAACCGTGCGCTGGCTTGTGGATGAAGCTGCCTTTGCGGATCCACTCGTCGGCGGGGGCATCCGGGGGGCCAGTCGCCCCCCGCGCGCCCCGCGGTCCCCGCGCCCCGGCGGCCCGGCAGCGGCTGAGAGCAGGCAGCGGGCAAGGCGCGGCGCAGCGCGGCTCGCAGGCGCCCAGGACCGCGGCCGCCAGCGCCGGGACGCCGGCCGGGCTGGCCGGCTCGGGCTCCGGGTCGGTGGCCCCCGCGCCCCCCGCCGCCCGCGCCGCCGCGGGGCCGCGGCTCAGGAAACCTGCGGGGGCCGCGAACTTCCACTGCGGCATGCGAGGCAGCAGCGCGCAGAAGGTGGTGGGCGCCTCCGGTTCTGGGGGTGCGGGGGGCGCGGGGGGCGCGCGCCCGCCCGGACCCTGCGTCATGGCCGCGGCCACCGGACCGAGCCCGACCCGGCGCTGCGCCTGGTGCGGAGGAGGCCCTCCCGCTCCCGCGCGCTCGCTCCCCGCCCCCGGCCCGGTGATGTCATCGTCCGGCCCAGCGCGCAGCCGCGGGGGGCTGCGCCCCTGGGACCACCGGTCCTCGGCGCCCCCGCGCCCGGCGGGGAGACGAGAAACTGAGGCCCGCCGAGGGCACGGGGCTGACGCGGGGTCTGCAGCCAGGGAGGGAACGAGGTTTCAAACCCAGCACCCAGGCGGTGACCCCTTACTTCGCCCCCCACACGTCCCCCAAGTTCCTAGAAGGACAGAGGTGGGAGAAACAGAAATCTCCTCCTCTTTTCCCTTTTAGACAGGAGGAAACTGAGGTCTGGAGAGGAACGGAGGCTCGGTGAAGGCAGGAGAGCGCCTCAGGCCCCCAGGTCGGCCCCTTCCCTTCCTACTGCTCCTGATGGAGGAGGTACTTGAAAATCAGGCCCTGCTAGATTTTTCTAACTGGGAACCTGGGATCAGAGAGGGGAAAGGGTGTGCCCTGGGGCACACATTGCACACTTGGACCCAGTCTGGCTGGCTGCCTCCGAGCCGAGTTCCCGCTACGCGGCCTCGCGCTGGGCCTCAGTTTCCCCGGCTGTAAGCCGGGGGCGCGGACCAGAGGGTCGCGGGCTCCTCCTGCTGCGTTTCTGGGGAGCCGCTTCCAGCGTCCACCCAGCAGAATCCCAGGACCCAGCCTCCCGGTCGGGGGCTGGCCGGTGCCCACGCCCTCTCCAGCCCCGCCCCGGGCAGGGCCGACTGCCGGGAAACAAAGGGAGGGGGCCGGAGCCGGGGCCGCTGGGGATGGAAGCAAAGGAGTGGCGAGGCCGCGCGAGACCGGATCGATAAATTAGAGTGGTGAGATCACCGCTCGGCTGCCGCCCGCGGGCCGGGGAAGGAGGCCGGGGAAGGAGGCCGCGGGCGGGAGGCGCGCGCGCGGCGGTGATTGGCCGGCGGGCGGGGCGGGGGCGGGGATGCGGCGGGAGGCCTGAGCCTCCAGCCCGGAGAGCTATTGTGCTCCCGCAGCCCGGGAGGGGCGTGGCCCTGGGTCGGGGCGGGGGGGTGGGTGGTCGGAGGACGTTTGTCAGGGTCTGCAGTCCCCACCTGGGCTCTGTGCTGTCTCTATTGCGGGCTACAGACTTACAGACTTATGGGCTGTGTGAGAGTTGGATCGTGTGTATATTCTGTGCGGATGTGACTGTGTGTGTGTGTCTGTGTGTGACAGAGAGGAGGGAGTCTGGGTCCCCACCCAGGTGTGTGTTGGGGGGTCCTGGTATGTTTACAGTTGTGTGTGTAGGGGTCCCACTGTGTACACAGGTGTGTGTGTCAGGGGTCCTGAGTCCTGGTGTGTCACAGGTGTGTGTGTCGGGGGTCCTGGTGCGTACACAGGTGTGTGTAGAGGGGGTCCTGACATGTCTCCACCTAGTCTGGTGAAGGGTGTGTGTTGAGGTTTGGCACCCAGGCAGGGGAAGAGGGGCCAGTAGGAGACAGCTGACCCCCACCCCAGGGTCTAGGCTCTTCCTGCTGTGTTGCCCTGGATGTCATCTCCTACAGGAAGTCAAAGTGCAGTCTGTCCCTCCCAAGATCCTGGGTTAGGGTCTTTCTGGGCTGCAGTTAATAAGGTGTCATAGTCCCAAGGGCTTGGTTACATGACTTCATCCCTGTATTTCTTTTCTATCCGTGGAAAAGAGTGGCAGGAACAGAGCCCACGGGGCAGGATTCATGTCCAGGCCTCAGAAAGACACCAGCACCCATTGTGCCCTCTGACAAATGTCTGTAAACGTGACCTGCCTCCAGAGTTGCAGCAAAACCACCTTATCAATGCCTGGAACACGGTAGGCGCCTACTGTGGCAAATGTTCAACTTCATCAAGTTCCTATTCATCCTTCAAAGCTCAGCTTTGGTGTCCCTTCTTCCAAGAAGCCTACCAGGCTGGCCACCTCCACTCAAAGCCCCTGCCCCATGGCTCGCCTCCTCCAGTCCTGGACCCCTTCTTCAGTCCCATCCAGGTGCCCAGGGGGCTGCAGAGTTAGGGGTTGGCATCTGACAGCAGTGTTCAGGTTTCCTTCCTGTGGCATGAACAGATGCAACCATGATGCTGACGGCTGCTGGTGCCCCAGAATTTTATTGGCAGGCAGCTAGAGGGTGGGGCAGGTAGGGAGTGCGGCAGGGCTGCTTGCAGCAGGATCTGGGCCCAAACAGCCCTTCCATAAGTAGCAGGGATGAGCCCAAGTGAGGCAGAAACCCGAGCCATGCTGGGGACCCAGGTCCTTGCGGGCGGACACTGAGTTCTAGGACACAGGAAGCCATGTCTCTGGCCAGTGGCTGGGGAAGGCCAGAGTGTTCCTTTTTCCACCTGGCCTGGCCTGGCCTGGTGTGACCTGGACAGAAGAAAGTGGGACGCTGGAAAGAGACTCACCCTGTGGGGACCACGGGATCACAGGCCCCGGGACTGGAGAAGGCAGTGGCCTAGAAGGACCTTGGACCTTTCAGAAGACAGGAAGGAAGGAGGTGCCTTCCCCTCACCCTGGCTTCTCCTAGGCTCCCCCCCCCAACCACCTGCCTACCCCCCCACTTCACAGCACAGGAGACAGGCTCAACCCAGGAGTGGGCCAGGCATCCTGTCACCTGTCACGAGGGCATCAGGGTGCAGTGTCTGTGGCCATGGTGGTAGCCCGCTTGGAGTGGCGGATGCCCATGGTGAATGCCGGGGCCCTGGCCTTGGTCACAGTGACCTGCTCGGGGCTGTGGCTGCCAGGGCCGGGTGTCTCATCTGGGGGCCGTGGGGCTCGGGGCCGCCCCAGCATGGTGAAGGCCGGCCGGCGCTGACGGTAGGCATTGGGGTCCGGGCTGTCATACTGGCCAGGGCCAGGTATCTCTGCGGGGTCCTGCGGGGGGCGGGCGGGGGGCGTGCGGCCAGCCACAGTGTAGCTGGGGCTGCTGGGCTTGGTGAAGACCTGCGAGCCCCAGAGGGAGGGCAGGGTGTAGGTGTTGGGGGCAGGGGCTGAGGTGTTCAGGGGCCGTGGGCGGAGGCGGGAGCCCAGGGTGAAAGCTGGAGGCGTCCGCTGGCGCATGGGGGCCACCTTCTCTGGGCTGTAAGCCCCAGGGCCGGGCGTCACCTCCAGACCTGTAAGAATTGGCAGTGGACAGAGTCCTCACCTCCTCCAAGACCCGGCCGTGGCTCCCCTGCCATATGCATTGTGGAGTTCACAGCAGCCTAGCTGCCCTCTTTTTCAAGCCTCCAGCCTTTGTCCAAGCTCAGTCCTCTGCTGGGCATACCTCCTGTTTCCCATTCCCACCTCCCAGGAGCTGCTTCTCCACCTTAAGACAGCCCCCAAGTCCCCTTCTCCCCATGCCTTCCCCACATGCTCCTACGGAGAGCCCTCACAGCCCTTCCAGGTTCCCCCTGATTTGGGTCTCTCTGCCTCTCCAGACATGGCCACACTGAGGTGAGAGGTCCCCACCTGGATCTGACCACACCAGGCTGAGGTCTTACAAAAAGCAAGAATGAGTCAAATCTACTTCAATGCTCAGCAGTTGGCTTAGTGCATGTTTGAGTGGATGGGTCAACAGAAGGATGGGTAGTGAGTGGGTAGGTGATGAGTGAATGAGCAGATGACGGATTCAGGGAGTTGTAGATGAATCAATAGACAGACTGTGGATGGATGGGTGAGTGGGTGGACAGATGGATGGATGGATGGGTAGATGGAAGGATGGTTGGATGGGTGAGTGGGTACATGGATAGATGGGTAGGTGAGTGGATGGGTGAGTGGATGGAAGGGTGGATGAAAGTGTGGATAAATGGATGAACAGACAGATCAGTGAACAGTGACAGAACAGATGAATAGTGGATGGGTGAGTGGATGGATGGATTGGTGAGTGGATGGATGATGGGTAAGTAGATGAATGGATGGATGGATGGATGGGTGAGTAGATGGATGATGGATGGGTGAGTAGATGGATGGATGGCTGAGTAGACATGTGCCCACATGTGTACTGGGTCACATTAGCCTGGCCCACTTTACCCGTTCAGGTTCTCTTAGGGTCCCTGACCCCTCTTCTGAGTCCACTGGATTTCGTCATTCCAAAGACACTGAGGATCTAAGAAATTGGTGGGGGTGGGGCAAAAAGGGAGGGAGGTGCAAGACTCGCTGAGACCCTGAAGGGGCAGGGTCCTGTGGGCGGGGTCAGCTCAAACTAGATACTCACCAGGAGACCTGACCCGGCCCTGCATGGAGTAGGCGGGAGCGCAGCTGCGGCCAAAGCGGGTGACTTTCGAGTCCAGGACGTAGACTGGCCCAGGGCTGGCCTCCTGGGGAGATGCTGCGGGGGAGAGCCCAGGGTCTCCAGGGCGGCTCCAGTGACCCCCCATCAATGCCCTCATTCACCCTGAGGCTCCTGCCCCGTCCTGAAGGGCAGGAAATAGCCTATGGAGGGGCGACTGCCCGGACCTGGGGCATGGGGTCGTGTTGACCATCCATGTGCTTGAAATCAGAGCTGTGCCCTACCCCCAACCTCCAACCTCTCTATCAGCAGCTTGGGGGACCCGCTATGGGACCCTTAGAATTGTGTGTAGAGTTAAAGTAACCAGGCCCTAGTAAGCGTCAGTCGGAGGAGAGCCCTGCAGAGCTGGGGTATGCTAGCATGCAACCAGCCTGGGGGCAGGGCTTGAGTCAGGCCTCTGAGAGCTGGTCCTGAGGAAGCTCTCGGTCTAACCGGCCAGTCTCCTCCTCACACCAGCAGGAAGCGAAGATCGAAGAGGAGATGATCCTCGGGATAGGGTGGTCTGGTGCCTGCACTTAATACTCGTGACCCTTACTGTGATGGCCACTGCCACTGTTTATAAGCCCACTCTGGGATCAATGCATTTGCATCTGAGAGTAGTAGGTCTGACACGGATTCATGGGTTTAAGTACATGTGCATATGTGACATGGTGCGCACACATGAAGCATGGTCTTGACAAACAGGCACAGCCCCGCTCATGTCATTTCTCACCTCAAGGCCATTGCCTGTGTTGCAAGATCTGCCTGGAGTCCCCTTCTTCTCGAGGCGGACTGAATTCCTATTCATCCCACAAAGCCCAGCTCCCATGCCCCCGCCTCCAAGAGTCTGCTCTGGGCACTCAGCAAAGTCTACACTAACCACCAGTAACCCAACTCCCCAGTCTGTCTGTCCCTCTGTCCTAGGATGGGCTCCTATGACTGGGAAGAGAGCCTGGCAGTCCAGGTTGCTCTGGGCCGCAGACCTAGTTCTCAGTCCTTCCTAGTGACAGATGCAGTGCTAACTCCTTTATGTGCCTCTGGGGCCCCACAGAGGCTCCTGGGTTTGGGGTAGATGCTGATTCTGAAGGTTGGGAAGAGGTTGTGAGCCCCACCCCTCCAAAGGAGCCTCTGTCCACATGAATCAAAGTCCTCACAGAGCAAAAACCCTTCCAGCCCCCCACCTAGCCCACTCAGGACCCCGAGTGCTCTAGAATGCGGGGTGAAGTCACCTGCAGGCATCACTGTGAAGGCGCAGGCAGCAGTGACTGTCCACAGCCTACGGTCTCGCCAGCCTTTCCTGTCCAAACATGAAAGGTCGCCTTCCACCTCCCTGTGTCCTGTGGGACACCATGGCCCGGGAGCCCCCATCCCACTGATGGAGGTCTGGAGGCCACTCCCACACTCAGGGCCCTTCTTTACTGAGAGAGACCAGGTGCCATGGTAGCCACTTTGAAACCACCTAATTCTCATTTCATGAACCTCTCCAGGCTTCCGAGGTATAGTCTTGACTACAACTTGGTAAGGACTGTGCCCTCATTGCTCACAGCGCGGGAAACTGAGACACAGCTTTCCTGAGTCAAGCAGCAAGGAGAACACCACCCACTACTCCCCTTCCATAAGGAAATGGACCAGAGAGGCACAGCAGCTTCCCTGAGGTCACACAGTAGGGGTGTGACCTATGCACCCTCCCAGCTTCTTGCCTGATCAGTGAGGGCCTGGATCTAAGGGGGTAGGAAGTGCTCCAGTGGGAGATTGGAGGCCCACCCCCCACACCTCTCCCACCCCCACCGGCCTTACCCTCACTGGGCCTCCGGAAAAGTGAGTAGGCAGGACCGGCTACCCTGGTGCAGTCGTGGTTGATGTAGCCAACAGTGGAAGGCAAGGCATACAAGCCTGGCCCAGAGCCTGTGACCAGAATCCTTGGGTCACGGCCTTGGGTTGCTCACCCTGATAGATGGAGGGGGAACCCAGGGGCCAGCCCCAGAGCCCCCACCCGGCCTCCCAGCCAACCTCCATGACAGGGGTGGGAGGAGGGGTTGCCTTCCCCCGGCAGGGGGACTGAGGAGTGACAGGGGCTTTGTGAGTCATAGGAGGGAGGGGCTGCAGGGCCAGGGCACCTTGGAAAGTCTGACCCCAGACTCAGAGACACACGGTCACCGGTGGGGAGCTGACCCCAGACACAGAGACACATGGTCACCAGTGGGGAAACTGACCCCAGAGTCAGACACACGGTCACCAGTGGGGAAACTGATCCCAGACATGGAGACACACGGTCACAGTGGCAGTGTTTGGTGGCTTCTGCAATAATGTTAGTCCCACAGTCTCACACCAGCTGCCTTGTTAGGGGTGGAGAACTGTGGCGTGAACAGGCCCTAAGATCCCAGAGTCCATGGCAGAGTCAGGAGACTCAGCTGCCCCAGGGATCTCTTCGTTTTCTGCCCCTGCACAGGCTCCCAGCCTCTCTGCTGCCTTTTCTCCAAGGTCGCTATCAGCAGTGAACACACTGCAGACAGGCTTCTCGTCTGTAGTTTCTAATGTCCATCCCCACCACAAGACTTTTGCTGCTCTGTGGCCACTGTATACTCAGCACCAGGAAAGGTGTCTGACTTTACGATACTGGACTCAGGGGCCCACAAAAATGCCAGATTCACACCAATCCTGCAGGAAGGAAAATTGAGGTTCTGGGAAATGCAGGGGCTTGCCAGAAATTCCTGCCTCCAGCTGGGCTCCCATGCATTCCAAACCCCATCTGGGTCGGGGGATGAGAGCAGGGAAGTGTCCCACCTCCACAGGGCCCCTTGCCCACCTACCATGCTCCAAGGTGGCCACCCCGCAGGTCCTCCTCAGGCTGGTCTCCGGGATCTGACAGTCAGTGGTCCGCCGGCCCAGAGGCGCCGGGGTCAGCTGTGGAGCCGGGTCGCAGGTGAGGGTCCCCATGGTGGGCGGATGCCCCTGGCTCCTGGTGTCTGCTCCTTGGCTGCGCAGCTCTGGGCCACAGGTGCCGGCACTGTCCTTGATGCTGGCAGCTCCTGCAGGGTTGGCAGAGCCCCGGCCAACCACACCATCCGGAACGGCACAGACGGCCCCTTGTCCCACGGCAGGGAGTCTGGGGCCCTGGCCTGATCAGGCTGGCCGGCGGTCACTGGCCTGGAAGTGGGGCCAGGATCGAGTGTCGGCCAGGCGGCCGGACAGTCCAGGAAAGAGTCCAATGTCAGCAGAGCCGGTCCCCTGGGAGCCAGCCGAGCTGGGCAGCCCAGGCCAGAGCGGGCTCCCAGGAGCTGGAGCCACAAACAGGACATCCACAGCCTGGTGGCAGGAGGGATGGGCGAGATCATGGGCAGTGTGACCCTGTTTCTACAGCTGGGGAGGCCGAGGCACGGTCCAAGATTGCCACTCTGGGCCAAGAAGCATTCCTTCCTCCCCTCCTTCCCTCATCTAGGAAGTTCTCACTGAACACCAACTCTGTACTAATTTCTGCTTGGGCTGGGGGACATGACAGGAAGAGACAGACCAGAGCTGAGGTCAGGGGGCAAGAGGAAATAAGCAGTAAATGTATAAAGGAACACTTCATACCTTAAAAGGTGTTACATGTTCTGCAAACAAAGAGCAGGGCAGGATGAGTGGTCACTGCATTTCAGGATAGGAGGGGGCCGAGCTGAGTCCAGGACAGGAGCCACATGGGCTAAGGGTTGGCTGTGGTCGTCTAGGAAGCCCCCTCCTCCCAGAAGCCAGCGACACAGAGCGTCACTGTCCCTGACACAGGAAGGCTCCCCCTACCCCAACCCATGTCGGGCTCTGAGACCGGGCTCAGGTGAGCCTGGCCAAGCAGTGTTCACATTCCTTGTCTTCAGAGCGTCCTTGTTTGCTGCTGTGTGGTCACGCCCTTTTGCAGTGCAACGTGTTAACAGGTGTTCTGAGTGACCGTTCGCATACCATACCATTTTTAGGCACTCTATAATTTTTGAACGTTTTTATTCAAAATGTTATAGTCTGTGTCAAAGGTCATAAAACAAGTCTTAAATGCTATGTTAGAAAAGATCCTGGGGCTTCCTGGTGGTCCAGTGGCTAAGCCTCCCGACTCCTAAAGCAGGGGGCCCCGGTTTGACCCCTGGTCGGGAAACTAGGTTCCACATGCCGCAACTAAGACCCGGTGCAGACAAGTAAATAAATAAAAATATAGAAAAGAAGATCTTAAAATCAAAGACCTAAGGTTTCACCTTTAAAAACTAGAAAAATGTGAGAGTACAAGTGGGTAGACGGAGGGAGATTTTAAAAACAAAGTAGAAATGCATGAAACAGAAAACTGTAGAAAGAATTAACAAAGCCCCAACACCACCACCAAAAAGCTGATCCTTTAAAAGGATCAACAAGAAACCAGTGCAGTGAATCAATGACATCAGGACAGGAGGGCGGCAACACTGCACACTTGCAGGCTCTGGGGGAAGTCTGTCTGAAGCCAGAGGCATTTACCATGTCCCAGTCACTAGGTTACTAGCTTGGGACTCAGGTATCCTGGGCCAGCATCGCAGTGTTTAATTATCCTAGCATCGCATGAGAGGTGTGGATTCTGACCTCCTCTGGTCACAGGAGGGAAGACAGAGTGGGGAGGGAGGCAGGGTGAGTCGGGGGAAGGGGGCGGCAGTGGGGGGCGGGGAGTGTAGGGATTGCACGGAACTCTGACTCAGGTTTTAGAGCAAAGCTTGGCACAAGGGCTTCTTCCAGGTTCTAATTCCTGCTCAGTTTTCTGGATGTGCTGGAATCTCTGGATTTCCCTCATCCTAAGGATAAAACCCAAGCCCTCCCTGTCTCATCCCTGCTCCCCTCTGCCCTGGACTCCTAGCCCTCAGCCCTCATCCATGACCCTGTGGCCACACCAGCCGGCTTCCTGCCCCTTGGATGGGAACCTCAGGGCCTTCACCTGCTGCCCTCCCCAGAGACACATGCTTCTGCCCAAGAGCCCACAGCCCGTCTGCCCATCTGCCCACAGCCAGCTCCATCCTTAGGCACCGGTGGCCCCGACACTCAATGAGCCATGTGCTCCTCAGCAGAGTCATGGACAGAAGTGGGAGATGGGGGATGAATCCCCACCTCCCTCTCCTCCTGCCCACAGGCACCTCTCAGGGACCCACACTGGCTAGATGTGCAGGAGCCCAGGAATTGGCCAGCCTTGGGGCCCAGGACAGGGGGTGGAAGGACACAGCCCTCCCCATTTCTAGGCCCCCAGCCCAGGCTCCCTTGGTCAGCCCTGGAGTGAAGAGAGCTGGAGACACTGGACTCGGCTCCCACTGCCTCCATTTCCTCTTGGTGACCCAGCCCCTCTGGGATGAGACCCTACATTCAGAATCCATCCAGGGCTCCATTCCCCTTTCTGACTGTGAGAAGCCAAGAGTTAGCACAGAGTTGGGGGGTGGGGGGCAGTGAATAGGAAGAACAGGCAGCCTGAGCCTGTGCAGGGTGTTCGGGGGACCCCCCAGGCCCAGGCCCCACCCCACTCGAGCTCATCCCCCACAGCCCACCTGGCCACCACTGCTGGCCGGCTTCTCTCTCTTTAGCCCAGAAATCTTCACTCCAGCAGGCGGGCTGAGATGTGAACAACTCAAAGTCTACAGGGGCACAAGCCATATTTTAATCCAAACTGACATGGGCTTTAGAGGGCAAGCCAGAGAACTTGAAAACGGAAGCCCATCTGGGCGTGAGAGCGGGGCTCCGGCCCCGGTGCGGGCAGAATCCACTGAGGCTACCCGGCTGAGCCGAGGCCTAAATACGGCCAGTGCTCCTCTGATTACAGCCCTCATCACAGCTACTAATTCCACCAGGACAGAGCTGTGGGCCAGGCAGTCTCTGGCACTGGGGAAACAGGGGTGAGGGAAACACACAACCTCCCCACCTCTCAGGCAGGCAAGTAGTGCCCTGGAGAAGAACGCGGGGGAGGGGGGTGGTCAGAAGGGGCCAGAGCTGTGGGTGTGCAGCCTGGGAGGCCTCAGTGGGGAAGAGTCATGGGAGCAGAGACCAGAGGGAGGTGGGGAGAGAGCAGGGAGACCTGGTGAGAGGGCGCACCTGGCGGCACCTGACGGGAGCACCACCTGTGCAAAGGCCCTGGGACAGCCCTGCGCCTGGCGGGTGGGAGGGGCCGTGGGGAGGATGAGCGAGGGGCTGGGGCAGGAGGTGAGGGCCCGGGGAGCGGAAGGGGCAGAGCAGGGTCGCACCCCGCTCTCAGCTCACAAGCGCCCTCTGGCGGTTTCGGGGAGAACAGGCCGTGGGCAGCACTGGGACCCTGGGAGAAGGGACTAAGGGGTGGGGATGGGGGTGCCTTGGAGGGGTGGGGGAGGGGTGATGGATGACAGAGAGATGATGGGGCGATGGTGGGGGAGAAGGTGGGGAGTGAAGATGGGAGGGGGAATTGGGGTTGGGGGATGGTGGGGCCAGCTGAGCAGGGATGGAAGAGTGGGCAAGAAGCAGGGGTTCTGGGTCTGCTTTAAAACTGGAAACAACAAGGTCTGCAAGCGGATTTGACCGAGGGAGAGAGCTACAGAGCCCCAGAGCTTTGGTTGGCTGACCTCAAAGGATGGAGCTGCGGGTACCTGGGAGGAAGCACAGGTGGGAGGGGCAGGCTTTACATATTTTATTCTATTTTGTTTAAATATTTATGGGGCATTACGTTTTGGTCAGTTAGTTCCCCAACTAGGGATTGAACCCACTGCCCCCTGCAGTGGAAGCAGTGAGTCTTAACCACTGGACCACTGGGGAGTCCCAGGGCAGCCTTTAGATGATTATGAGTTCTGTCTTGGGGTTGGCGGCTTGGGGCTCTAGCGGGAGATGCACATGGACACACGGTGGACCAGCTGTACGGGGCGGGCTGCTGGTCATCTGTAGGTTCTGTGGGTGCAGGTATACCTTGGCTGTGAACCTGAGGAGGTGGGAGCCCTGGAGACCGGAGCAGAGGAGAGGAGCAGACAGCATTAGGAGAGGGGCGTCAAGAGTGGAATCTCTGAAGGACCTAAGTTCAGACCAGCTGCTTTCTTCAGCAGTTTACTGTCCTTTCTCCCCACTCCTTCCTGTCTCTCTCTCTCTCTCTCTCTCTCTCTCTCTCTCACACACACACACACACACACACACACACGCACAGAAGAGGCGAGGCTGTGCGTGTCCTGTCCTGGGGTCAGCACATCGCTGGCCCAGACCTGGTGCACAGACACCCACAGAAGAAAAGCGTGGGGGCTATTGACAGTTGAGCTGAGGTCCCCCACCATCTCTAAAGCTGTCTGGGTGCTGAAAGTGAGAAGCTGGATTATAGGCCAGCCTGCTGTTCTGTCCCTGGCACAGTAGGTGGGGCGGGCCGGGGGGCAGGTATTCTCAGGACACTGCCCCATGCAGTGTCAACTCTCCCTCTGCCCTCTGGCCTGCGATCTCTCACCTCCCACCTCCCTGGGGTGCTCACAATTGTCCCTCGGCAGGGCCTGACTCAGGCTCACGTGCCTTGGTGGCTGCCTGCCCCTTTGTTCCAGGAAGGCGGGGATGCTAACAGGGAAGCCTTGTTCTTCTCAGACGGACAAGGACCCAGCGAACCTGCCAACTCCCCTCATGCCTCCATTCAGGAAAGAGCCAGCTCCCCACTCAGACCAACAGGGACCCCGCCAGGCGGGGAGGGAGTAACTCTCCTGTTCCTCTGGGTCCTCAGCTGCACGCCTGGCTAGTCCCCGTTATGAAAACGAAGACAAAAGTTTCCCGGGAAAGAAGTTCTCAAACTGGGGGGCTGAGAAGGTCTAGCAGGCTTTCCTGAGGCCCACCAAGTCTGACCTAACCACAACCAGGTCCTATCTCTTCTCGATGGCCTACCCCATCCCTAGGGGTGCCCCTCTGGCCTCCTTGCTTTCCGGGAGCTCGCCAGGCAGCTCCAGCTGCAAGGCCTTTGCATATACTGTATCTTCTACCTGGTA